CCCATTGTCTATTCAAGAAAATCCCCCTATGGGTATTACTGCCACCACCTCCACCAATATTCTCGTTTTCAAAGATTACACAAGCTTGTTAATTGTATTAACATTAGATTGCCAGTGTAAATTTTCAAAACTCTTGCATATCTCCCTACTTTCTGCTTGTATAGCAATCGATGGTCTAGCTATTGTTTTTTTAGTCCGTCGACTCAATATTGTAAAAAGGATGTTGACATACGGTGGCTCTAAAAGACGTTTTTGTTACTTTTATGATTCCGGTCTATGTCTAACGATATAGTGCTATTTGCGTACGTCCCATTTGCGTACACGGTCAATTTGCGTACACGGGTTAGATAATCTCTTGAGTCCGGTAAAAGTATAACGATATATAGTCCTACTTGCGTACATATACTTAGGACTGGCACCGATTTGCTGGCGTGTTTAAAAGTTTTTTTAGTTTTTATATTTTTGAGTTTTTTTTGTTTTTTAAGAATTTACAAAAAGAATGGCATTTACAGAATATTTACAAAATGCAGAGCCATACAGTCGGTTACTCTAACTTAGCGACGTAAGCTAGAGAAGTTAGGCATTTTTTAACGTCTTTTGTTTCTGTATATGCCGCTATTATTTTATTAATTCTAATTTCCAACTTGACGTATTTTATCTCCTTCTTTTTTCCTCCAAATTCAATTCTTTTCGTTTATAAAGAAAATCACTATTTTCTGCTTCTTCTTTTAAGTGTTTCATCAACTGTAAGACAGGCGGATGGTTTCTTTTGACCAGATGATGTAACTTGTTGTTCCATCCCTCCACGACGTTATTTGTACGATAGAGCTTGTTGCTGCAGTTCCACATAATTATCTGGCGTAATGATACTATTTTCTAGCCACTGATCCACGAAATAATCGTAGAACTTTTGAAGTTTTTCGTTAACGGGTGAATTTCCTTGAATAGTTAGCCAACAGATATCCAAATCTTCTAGTGGAATATACGCCAAAGCAATACACATACGAATATGTAGTCGCAGTTCATCATCGTGCCGGTATTCTACAACTAGGCCCAACTGTTGTACTTTTCGCCATATACATTGATTGTAGAGGAAATGACAGTCATTTATTGCAACGTTAGGAAACACATTCCTTATAGCTACAATAACTGCTTCCTCGAAGTCTACAGTCACTAATGTTTGTTTCCAGTTTGTGGATCTTTTTATTATCGTAAATAATCTCTCATATGTAGAGCGAGTTTTGTTCTTGAGTAGTGCATAAACTACAGGAATTATGTTTCGCTCGTCTGTATTGCTTCCAATGTCCGCATGTATTGTATAAAGTTGAGTAAACTATTTACTGCAACACTTAAAAGTGCCGTCCATAAAGAAAGTATTCTGGTTTGATATAATCTCCTTCCAATCGATGACGAAAATATTAAAATTCTGTCTTCGTAACCATCATCAGTGACCAGGAAGAAAGATCCATTGTTCAAAAGAAAAGGCCTTTCAGGTATTTCGACATCCGATGCACATTTTGGCTCTTTCGACAGTCCGTTTGCCTTTTGTCTGTGTCGATATAAAGTGGTCTTTACTGAAGACAACATTGGAATATCGCAGACAAAGTCAATTCCACGATCAAAAAGTGGCCTCATTTCTTCACGGTAAATGTTTGGAATGTCCTGATCAGTTTCTCGTGCTCGCTTTTTGGCATTTTCTTTATGAACTTTTACTTCTAGTTGTACCAAATTTGGTTTACAGTTGTAGAGTGGCGGAGCTAATTGATTTAAGTACCAAAATTTCGTGATTCCCGATTTTTTCACCAAAATAATCTATGTGCCAAAGCCAATGCATAGATATATGATTTAAGTGCTAATGCGCGTTACTTTTCGTTTTATGGGCCGTCAAAAGGTGTTCAGCTGTTAAGATCGTGATCCGTTGCACGTCTAACAGATCTAAGTACCACGAATGCCTAAACAGAAACTTGTCGAATCCTGCCATTATTTTATCGATCAGTTTTTATAAAGGAATTTCCCAAGTTATCTTTTAGAAAACCGTGAGTTGACACAGACCTCACTATTGCAAATCAAGCCAAAACTCATCTTGAATTCCACCACAGATAGGTGGAAAATGTGTTCAAAGCTATAAAGCAGGATGCTGAAAATAGCTCTTTATCAGAAAGCGACACTTGTACCGTGACTATAGACTTACAAAAAGTTTTTGCCATCCCGAAACTTACCCACACTAGTAAGTATTATAGTCGCCAATTGTCGTGCTACAACTTCGTCTACCATGTTACTGCTGATGGAATTATGTGCGTCTGGCACGAAGGGCAGTCTGGTCGAGGTGGAAACCAGGATACCTACCAATGGACTCTTGCCACCTATAAACGTAAGTTGTGCGTATTTAGTGATAACTTTGCTGGGCAGTTAAAAAATCTTATGTTATTGTTTTTCCTCGTGGCCACTGGCAAGTTCGACACGATTGATCATAAATTTTTAATTTAGGAACACAGTTTCTCTGCTTTAGATCATGATTTTGCCATTGTAGAGAAACATGGAAGTTTCAAAATCAAATAATGTTAAAGACGTAAAGAAATATATCGTTACTGCAAGACCGATACATCCTTTCACTGTACTAGATATGGGAGAAAATGTTTTTATTAATTTTGACAGCGCCTCTTCCAAATACATTGACAGTATTGACACCTCAAAACTTGACATTAGCCAGGCGTCGTGGTTGTGAATCACTAAAGATGATCCCAGAGTGGTGTTTTACAAAAATAGTTTTAGTGAGTTGTTGTAATGGAAGAGATATGTACTGAAAAGGCATACAACGTTCACCATATCAAGTTTACCTAATACAATACCCTTGAAGACTTCGAAAAAAGAGTATATAAAATTATTTTCATTTATTTAAAACGTAAATACCATTTTTGGACTACTTGAAAATAATAGTAATTTTGTTAGTCCTTAGATGGTAAATAGGTATCAACGAAATCAACTTTTATTTTGCAATATTTTCTGGCCATTAAAAAAGAAAATTATAACATTTTTAAACTGTTCAGTAATATAATAGGCCCTATTTTATGTGTGTACGCAAGTAGGACTATGCATCATAATATTTTTACCTGCCACAAGGCATGACCTCACGGTGTACGCAAGTGAGACATAATTAACCGTGTACGCAAATGGGACGTACGCAAGTAGGAGGATACCATGTCTAACATACAAAATCAATGTACCTGGATCAATGGTACTTTCGCTTTTCAGAAATTTTCGTTTATCTGAAATTGTTACAAGGTTTACTGTACTAAATAAAAAAATTAAATATTACAGGTCGTTTTCTAACTGTCCCTGATATACTATTTAGCAGAGGGGGCTATTTTTTCAGCTGAGGACTACCTCTACTTTCAGGCGTATAGATGAGCCTCAGGTAGTACACCTGAAATAAATAAAAACAATTATTGTAATATAAATGTTCAGAAGAGTAAATAATATTACTTACATATTTATTTATATTATTTTGTTTGATTTTAATACTGCTCCCATCTGTTGAAGTAAAGGCTTCAATTTCCTTGGTATTTGCCTTCTACAAAGAATTGGTTCATGACTGATTACATACCTTTTTACATAATAGCAATATGCATTTTTCTCAAAATGCTGAGAAGAGACGTAACGAAGTTTAGCTAAAAATAATTTTTAAACAATTTGATTAATTTGTAATCACTGTTCATGTTAAGTGCTTGAGATTCGTCGATGATCTAAAAAATAAAAAGCTTTAGAATACAACAATAGGAACATAAATAAAGTAGTTACTGTTACTTACAAATGAAAAGATTTAACATAAAATCACCAAGTAAAGCAAGGTTTTCAAGATATTCATTATTTGTTAATGGTTTTGTAAAGTGTAGGTTCGTAAATAATATCTTTGGGGACTGACTTTGAGTAAATAGTATATCATAACCACTAAAACATGACTAAAACTATTGCGCCAAAATGTAGGCAACACGTAATAAGGCATCAAAATGGCGGAGTTTTCTATCTCCTTTTGAATGGAACTCAGACAGTTGCGCAGTACGACCATTCTCTGTATATTGAGAAAAAATCGAAGTATGTGCCCCTAGTAAATCAGTAAGAAATATAGAGCGGGAAATTGGTGTGTCAAAATCAACGGTACAGAGATTATTAAAAAAAGTACCATCCATAGAAACCCGCAATAGTTTAAGTAATGAAGGAAACTGTTTTCCCATGACGCATGCGCTTCTGTGAGTGGTATAGTAGGAAGTGTAATGAAAATCCCGATTTTGTAAATCATGTCTTGTGGTCCGATAATAGTAGGTTTACGAATTGTTTTTTTTTTTTTTTTTTTTTTTTTTTTAATAAGCACAACACTCATCATTTTGGCTATGGAAAACCCTCACGAAGTGGTAATGTAACGTCTACAGATTAGATTTGAAAGTAAATTTTGGTGTGGGATCATTGGCAATATAATCTAACTTACCTTTTTTAATTGGGCATCTATTGTAAATTAATAATCGTTTCAAGAAATCGACTTATAGGACCATTTTAGTCGGTCAAAGATACCTAGAGATTCTGCGAAACCAGGTTGTGCCGGCTTTACGGAAGTTTAGAAGAACTTAGTTTCAATAGGAATGTTGTCCAGCTCAGCTCACAACACCATTCAAGTTAGGAACCTCTTAAAAGAGCACTTTGACAAAAGATTAATTTTATCAAATGGTCCAATATCTCGGCCTCCTAGATTTCTCAACCTTTCACGTTTAGATTTCTCCCTCTGCGGTCACACAAAGAATGAGGTCTATGAATTTGATGTTCCCGTGACCATAGAATTCTTATTACAAAGAATTTGGAACACATTTACAAACATAAACGGAAATGCACTTGTTAGGGTAACTTCCCTATTGTTAATAAACAAATTATTATATAATTTTTGCAACTATTAAAAAACAAACAAATAGTTCATTAAATAAATATTTATTTAATCAAATATAATTTTAAGATCATTCTTTGGCATATGGAGGTGACGAGTTGGTATCCAAGAAGTAGACGCCGCGTGCCCTAAATAAAAAAAAAATACGTATAGTATTTAAAAATAAAAAAAGTATCTTACAATAATTATGATTTTCTATCACTCAGTTAACACATAGTTATTATTTAAATAACTACTTTCCATCACCCAGTTTTAACTTATTATTTGTATTGTTGACTTAATCAAACGCAATACGGAGGTTCAAAGTTTGTTTGAGAACTGAATATTTTCTTAAAAAACAGAATAATTCCAAACAAAACCTTTGGCTACTACAATGAAAAAATATATATATTTTTAATATTATAATTGAGTTTTTGACACCCCTTGTCCTTGTCACAGCTGGTCACGTTTGTGAGACTCCCCCTCGTTAGTGTGAGGTTACATATTTCACATCTAAAAATTCTTTCTGTCGCCATATCCTCCTGCTCCACCACAATATGTAACGGAGGAAGACTTAACAGTAGCTCCATTGTTGCAGTGGGCGTAGTTCTAAATGCCCCTGTTATTATTAGAGAGGTCTATCTTATTTTTTGCGCTAGCTGTTATGCTTTTAGCTTTGTGTTACCATATGACTGAAGAGTAAGGTATAATGGGTACTTCAACCATGGTATAAAGCATCATACTTGGTTTTAGTCCCCATGTGTTTCCTCCCATCTATCTACCATAGTATTCTCACAGTTCTTCCTGTTATTTCTATCTGGCTACAAAACCTAAGCTTGTCATTAAGAGGAATTCCAAGATATTTACTGTCTTGTATGAATAAAAGAAATGTATCACCCATACGAGTTTTGCTCTCTTTACTATTGTCTGTGCAAGAGACCAGTTTGTTTCTGCACTAGAAATTAGTTCCTCGATAATCCTGTTCTCTTGATCAAGGATTATCTCACATTAATGGTCTAAGATGCCGCAAATGGGTTGCCTACGGTTAAGATTAGTTTCTTAAAATAATAAAAAAAAAACATCCTGTAAAGTATTCCCCAGATGCTTTGACTGTGCCCAAAATTTGATCGGCTCACCGCACGATGGATTAAAGCTTAGCTTTAAAATTTGGTGATTTTCTTTTTATCCGTTTTTGAGTTATCTTTAAAATTAAAAATTTGATCTTATCCTCTAAATATCTCGAATTCAATCCATTTTAAGGAAAATATATATGGGACTAAAATTATAGGAAATCGCAACTTTTATCCTAAATCCTATACTTTTCATATCTGTACACAGAAAGAAAAGTAAAAAATGGCCATGCCCGTATTTTCTTAGGCAAGCCAGTATACAGAACATATTTTATTTAAAAAAAAAACTTTCATCCTTGAAACAGATCTACTATAAGAAAAGTGTGATTTTCAAAGATCCCATGCATTTTAGTTTATCTATCTGTAGAGTTTTCTAAGTCTGGAACATTTTGGAAGGCTTTTAATGCCGTTACAGAATTTCTTCTTGGATTATTTGGCTTTCCTAATGTCATAACCATATTCTCTCCGGCAGGGCTTGTACGCGTCCCAGTTCACCGAAGTGTTGACCAGGTTAATGTTTTTTTTTTTTTGGAAAAATATCTATTCCACCATACAGGATCTCAATTCTATTTTCCTATTTTTATAGTGCAGTTATGTCAAACGTTTGAGTCAGAAACTATGACTTTTTAACTTGCACTGAATTCATCGGTGTCGCAGGACAGTCCTCCAGTCCCTGCTTGAGTTCCTTCTTGAAGGCCCCATAATTACAAGTCCTAGTGTTACGACATGTCTTTTTATCTGAAGTTGTTATACCCAGATTGAAAAAAAAAGTAACACTTCTTTTAAGACGTTCCACTTCCCCACCAACGAACACGCCCATTGTGTACAAAGGGTTATATTAATGAGCTTACTTAGCACTGATGTTACGAAGGTTTGTTCATGTCAAACGTTTGACTGATTTCGTTATTAAATAAGTGACAATAATACAGTGTTGTACCAAAGTATAATATACTTTGGTTGTACTATTGCCACGGCATAAAAAACAATCGGCAGGCCCACTCTCCGCTGATCGCATACAAATATTATACCAAGAAAATTTGACCTTGACGACGCCATTCGGGGGTCTTAGTCAGGGTCGGATTAAAGCGTATTTAAAAATTTTGTAATAAAATAAGGTATTGATAGGCATGATCGTATTAAAACAAAAAAGCTTCACAGATTGCGCCAAATAATTAGCTTGTTTTTATTGATGGTCTTAAAATTTCTATTAATATTTTAAAGTGAAATATATGAGCAGCCTTAAATATAACTTAGGACCGATTCCACCGTTGTGTTAAACGAAGTTTAAAATTACATTAACAATGTCATTTTAATCTCCGTTTAACACAACGGTGGAATCGACCCTTAATAACATATATTTATGGAAATCGGGGACAAGGAGCGTCAAAAGTTATCTCGGAATTAATTAAATCTAAAAAAAATTACAAACGCCGGATTTAGTGATAAATAATTCAAAATTGTGATGAAAAATTATTTCAATGTTTGTTATTAAACATACAAAACTATTATTTGACATTTTTCCAGAATGTAATAAATTTAAACATTGCAATTTTTTGAACGTCCTTTGAATTTAGACCGATGTAGGGTTTACACAGTTACCATCATGGAGGAAGGATAATTAAGAGTTGCAGATTCCTCACAGAAATTTGGCAGCATGTTTACCTTCAGCGACACATGGAATAGTTTTGTGCAATTAATACTCAGTCGGTAATATAGAAAGATGTAATGCTATTTTAGCTTGAAAATTGGGGGGCTTTTGAATTTACTTCGACAAAATATAAGAATTTTACATTTTTAATAGCACTGCTTAAAACACATGATTTTGATTGTGACTCATTACTAATTTACTACTTATAATTTCTTTAAAGGCTAATTAAGATTTTCTTGCTTTTTCTAATGAAAATACTTTAGATTAATCAAGATTATAAAGCTTTGTTATTCGCATATCTAGAATAATTGTCAAAATGAATATCAGAATTAAATTTTTGTTAAGCATTTCAATATTTGGGAATAACACAATTACGATTAATATTCATTTTTTTTTTTCAGAAAAAAAAATTATTCCATAAAAAAAATTCTGCTTGTTGAAGAAAATTACAAGTAAAAGTTTCCTGTTAAAGTTATGAAGGAAAACCGAAAGGAAAACTGTGACTTTTCTTCGTAAAATCAATAGGGTAATACAGATTTTTTCTTTCTGTCAATTTTAAGTTTTTTCATTTATTAAGACCATGTACACCTGACCTAACATATTAATATAGTAAACCTATTTTTTCGTCAAACAGAATTTTTTTATAATGCCTTTTCCTTAAAATTAAAATAAAGATTTTTTCATTTTGTCAACTCCGTACGGGAGATATTTAAAATATAACATTTTACTTTAAATCTTAATAATATACCTACATAAGTAAATATAAATTGACGCTAAACTTTACGTGACGTTAACTAGGCACCTACATCTTACTAATAGCTTTATAACTGACAAACTAACTCATAAACTAGGATTTTTTTTTTTAAAGTATACCATATATACCTAATAAGATCTTTAAGAAACTGAAAAAATCTTTTAATACAGTTTATTCATATAGTTTTTTGCTGCACAACTTTGCCCAGACATAGTAAAACACTTAAAAGTTAACAAATTAACACTGGAAAACAACTACTATATAAAAAGTGTCAAAAAATATCTATAATTCTAAAAAAATAACAATAACTACATAATACAAACATCACAAACAAAATAAATTTAAGATACACGCTACTGATTCCGTGCTACTGCAACTTGTTTGTTTTTGTCGATATAAACGACGACAGTGACGCCACTGGCTTGATTGAAAGGTTGGACCCGAGAATATTATTCTCGGGTTGGACCCCAAAATGGTGGTGTGCGCGTAGATGTGCGCGTAGCGTTGCCGCCAAGACAAGTTAGCTTGCCGATTGTTTATTATGCCGTGCTATTGCTGTGGTACATGGGTTACCATAACTGGGAAACAAATTTTTTTCAATACAATCCATTATCTATCATTGCCAATTTTTGCTATATGGTTGCCATCATATATTTTATTTCTAAATAAAATTTCGTGGTATATAAAAAAAAAGTCTGAGTAAAAGAGGAATGCAGTAAAAGTGGGGTTGTAACGTCACAGGATTAAGTTTTCTATTACTATATCCAATTTCTAAAATGAATTTTCCATCTTTTTTATATGATTAAATTACGGCACCTCTTTTTTCTTTAGACTATAGTTATTTCTAAATTCCTACATTTTGCTCACGTCTGTGTTAGGTCTGCATCATCTCAACAACGAGCCAAATTTGTTAGATTAGGCTACGATTACATTGGATGTGTACTGTGACGACGATCTAGTCGGACGCATACGGACGACTTTGGTCGAACGATAAATTATATGTGCATAAACAGAGAAGAAAGTGGCGAGAAAATAACGATTTGTTTGATAATCTTCATTCATTTGTTCCGCACGATAACGTCGAAAAAACAGACAAATATCTATTTTTTTACTTGGGTATTACGTACACGTGCGTAAACAAACGGCTTCTCCGCATGTAATAGGTCTGTTTCAACAACAATTAGAAACCAGTCACAGACACCAGGATTCTGTGCAGTATATAATTTGTCGGTCGAAATAATCAACTGCGCAGAATCCTAGTTTCATTGTCTGGTTTCTGATCGTTGTTGGAACAGACCTAATATAACCAGTTTAATTTTAATTTTAATGATGATGGTGGGTGAGGTTTTCCGGGTTTTCCTCACCTGTAAGTCAAAAAATGGCACCATCAATCATCTTTAAGTCGCCTCGGAGCGCCACGGCAAATAAAAATAATAGCCGTCCCTTCCCCTACACAAGTCGTTCAGTCGACTTCAGGGGTTGAAATTCACTCGTAAGGGGGTGAATTAGGGAGAGTATTATTATTATTATTATTATTATTATTATTATAATATGACTAAAGGCGTTTCTTTCAGTCGTCTGATTACACACGAGTACGTTCGACTCAATGGTCGTCAGAATACGCATCCAATATAACCCTAACCTAATACGGTGATGTGTGTCTACCATGCGTTGCAACAAATAGGATCGAAGTAGATGCGGTGCTTTCTCTTTTATGTCGGGTTTTATGTTAAACTCAAAGAGATTGTCCCTTCTAGTGGTACACGTTTGTGGCAGGTACGTTAAAAATTGAAAATTTAGTTTGCAGAGATACTGGAGTAACGTCAAGTTTATATTTTTAAAAATAAAGTTGTTCAAAGAAGCTCCGTTAAATTTGGTAAGATCTAGAAATTATCGGCTGCTCTTCGTCGAAAAACTTACGCTCTCGATCACCAAAGTAGTATTTTACGCCCTAAATACAAAAATAACTATTGTAATGATTATCTGTCTACTTACTTTTTATCAACGTTATACTCGCCCATCAATGAATTTTCACCATCAGTACACTTTGCCTCTCTAAATTTTCCATAATCTTCGCATTTCTTGGCCTTAAAATCACCATTTCTTACAGATTCCGAATAATACGATACAGATAAACCATGAGGACATATACCAATGGGGATGGGACCGCAAGCAGGCTGTATTCTTCCCCCATTGACGTAATAGTCAGCATGACCTAGAGGTTCTAAGATGCCTAAGCCTCCACCATTAGTATGTATTACATGTACGAATTTAGCACTAGCTTTAGACAAACGGTTTGATGTATTTACTAAGTTGAAAAGAGGACCTGCTGGGTCTAGAGCTGAAAATTGGCCAATAAAGGGGTTTTGTGTAATAAATAAGGGCAAACTAATTGCAGTAAATTAAGAAAATTTGAGTTCAGTAATCGCGGTTGTAATATTTAAATTTTTTATATTAATAGCCTAATATACAAAACATTTTTATTTTCCTATCTCTATACAGATATAAGGAAAGTATAGGAATCATGACTTTTTTCGATCTCGAGTTTTCGACGGATTTTTACGTTTTGAGATCCCCTGAATCCGTTTTGACTATTTTCGCGATGATGTCTGTGTGTGTCTGTGTGTGTGTGTCTGTGTGTCTGTATGTCGCATAACTCATGAACCGATACACAGAAAAAGACCAAATTTTAAACTTAAGCTTTATTCCAGAGTCTAATGAAATGAGTAGATTTTGGGCAGAGTCGGAATATCTGGGGGGTACTTTATAGGTGGTCATTTCTATATTTTATGGAATATATCTGTTATTTACGTTTGGAGAAGAAAATTCTTTAACTAAAAGTTACTTCTAATATAATTATCTATAATTTTTGTTCCATACAAAATTTTCCTAAAATGGTCCGTATTCGAGAAATTTGACAAAATGTAAAAAAAAACAATTTTTTATAAAAATTGTTCAAATAAAAGTTGTTTGTAATATAATTCTCTATAATTTTTATTTTATACATAATTTCTCTAAAATGGACCGTAATCGAGATATTTGAGAAAATGTGTAAATTTCGAATTTTGAATAAAACTCAAAAACGGATAAAGAAAAAATCATTAAATTTTAAACTTAAGGTTTATTTCGGCCTGACGTGAAATGATTAGATTTTGGACAAAGTCGGAACATCTGGGGGGGTACTTTATGGGAGGCCGTTTTTATATTTTATGGAATATATCTGTTATTTATGTTTGGAGAAGAAAATTGTTCAAATAAAAGTTACTTCTAATATTATTATATATAATTTTTGCCTTATGTCAAAATTTCCTGAAATGGTCCGTATTCGAGAAATTTGAAAAAATGTGCAAAATTCTGATTTTTATGAAAATTGTTGAAATAAAAGTTGTTATAAGCTGATGTTTAATTACCAAATATTTAAACTAGTAATTTAGTTAGTGTTATAATTATAATGTTATAGTTTATATTAGAGTTTATCAAGATTTAAATAAACAAATTAAAGGACGGTGCATTTTTAATTTCAACATTGGTGCACGTGTATTTAAAATCCAGAAGTTTGCTACACGAACCGCCTATAGACCATCACAGTCCATTTACCGGAAAAAACCCCTTTGTGTAACATGAAATCAAGTAAAGAAATCCCATAGCCCGTGACACCACTAATTAAAATATATCTTTTTTGTGTTGTCTTTATTTGCATGAAAGATACAATCAATATATTTACTAAAGATCTTAGTCCTAAACAGATTGAATAGGACAGTACTATAATTTGATCTATTTTCCCTCCCAATGCAGCTCCAGCAACACCAGCGACGTGCGCTCCCAGAGAAACTCCAATCATTTTGGATTTTTCCAAATCAAGTCCAGAATTTTTGACCATATCACTTATCATTTTTGCTAAAGTTACTCCAACATCTTCTACCTAAATGTAAATAATAAAAATATATAATTTGATATAAAAACTGAGAAACTTAAATTTCAAATCCTAAGTGTACGCTCATCGTGGTCAGACGTCTTATTGCCAGTGCTGATAAGTCAAAACGACAAAAGTGTTTAAATATTGTGTTATTTTTAACCATTCCAAATTTTTCGAGAAAGTAATTATTAAAACAGCTTTATTAGCATATTTTCGTGATGGATAATATCTAGGGCGGCCCAGCAGGGCCGCCCCAGGTAAATACAGATGTACCTAATACTACGAATAAACCAATTTCTTATGATTTTGATAATAAATACAATTTTTCCGATCGCGGGCCATACCTAATATTTGTAGAACATAAAGACAAACATTTATGAAGAATATTTCCAGTTAGGGTAGGACACTACCTACAACAGACTGATGAATTCAAAAAAGATATACTTGACATTCAAACTATAGGGGAAAACAGGGTAAAAGTTATCTTTAAATTATTTAATATAGCAAATACATTAATAAACCATAAAACCATTTTACAAAACAATTTAATTGCTTATATTCCCAAATTCTTTACTCAAAAAAAGGAATGGTTCAAAACGTAGATACCTTCTTCACAGAAATAACAATCCTAAAAAATATTGTCTCTGAAAAAAAAGTAGTCTTAATTAGGAGAATGAAACGAAGAAAAGTCCAACCTGATGAAACAGTCAAATATGTTGATAGGCAAATTATAATTGAAACATTTATTGGCAATACCTTATCTGAAAATATAAAAATTAACATGTGTAATTTAGTTGTTGAGCCATATGTGTATCCCGTGGTGCAATGCTACAAATGCTTGTGATACGAACATATAATATCTCAATGCCGAGGAAATACTAGGTGCCAAAAGTGTATCGAGGAACATGAAACAACATCATGTGGAAAAGATATATTTTGCGTATTTTGTAAAAGTAGTGATCATTCTAGTGTATCAAAAAGTTGTTCCGCTTATGAAAAACAACAAAACATCAAAAAGTATATGGCATCAAATAATATTTCATTTAAACTTATAGATAATCCTAGTTATGCAAAAATTGTCACTAACAACAGATTTGATCTTTTATATAATATTAATAATTACCCTGAACTACCAAATACTAAAGCAGGAACCTATGTTCGAAAACCCAAACCACCACCGTTCACCAAATCTCAACCTGCTTCTAACACATTTAAACGAAAAAACCATCTTCTCCACCCTAAACTCCTCTTTTAAAACCAGTAACCCTCAACCCCTACAGGGATGAATTTATGGAATTTAAGGAATAGCCCAATCGGATTAGTATTTTAGATTCTGAAAAATTGGAAGCAGCAATTTTCCTTCGGAATTCGTTGGAGGGGGTCTCTGGTAGTCTAAATTCAAAAAGTTGGGATTCCAAAGTTGTCGCTACCTCCGCCATCTTGATTTAAAGGGTTATTTTTTGTATCTTGAATAACTCATTTATTTTCAATTTTACAAGGAAAATAGTTTTTACAAAAGTTATTTAAAATTAAATTTCCTACAATTCTGCTTTTTTTTGTACGATCGATTTTTTCGATTTAAACCCGAAAAGAGGGGGTGAATTTTTGGTTATAGAATAACTCGTTTATTTTCAATTTTACGAGAAAAATTGTTATAAACAAAGTTGTTTAAAATTAAATTTCCTACAATTCTGCTTTTTTTTGTACGATCGATTTTTTTCGATTTATACCCGAAAAGAGGGGGTGAATTTTTGGTTATAGAATAACTCGTTTATTTTCAATTTTACGAGAAAAATTGTTATAAACAAAGTTGTTTAAAATTAAATTTCCTACAATTCTGCTTTTTTTTGTACGATCGATTTTTTTTCGATTTATACCCGAAAAGAGGGGGTGAATTTTTGGTTATAGAATAACTCGTTTATTTTCAATTTTACGAGAAAAATTGTTATAAACAAAGTTGTTTAAAATTAAATTTCCTACAATTCTGCTTTTTTTTGTACGATCTATTTTTTTCGATTTATACCCGAAAAGAGGGGGTGAATTTTTGGCTATAGAATAACTCGTTTATTTTCAATTTTACGAGAAAAATTGTTATAAAGAAAGTTGTTTAAAATTAAAATTCCTACAATTCTGTTTTTTTTTTGTACGATCGATTTTTTTGTATTTATCCCTGAGAAGAGTGGGGGTGAACCTAAGTATTGTATTGTCACGTTTATTATTGATGTTGTACCGTTATTTTTTCTGTTTGTTTTTTTTTGCTGATACCTGGAATTAAAAAGAAACGTGATAATACAATGATAAGAGTTTACCCCCACTCTTCTCAGGGGTAAATACAAAAAATCGAGCGTACAGAAAAAAAACAGAATTGTAGGAAATTTAATTTTAAACAACTTTGTTTATAACAATTTTTCTCGTAAAATTGAAAATAAACGAGTTATTCTATAACCAAAAATTCACCCCCTCTTTTCGGGTTTAAATCGAAAAAATCGATCGTACAAAAAAAAGCAGAATTGTAGGAAATTTAATTTTAAATAACTTTTGTAAAAACTATTTTCCTTGTAAAATTGAAAATAAATGAGTTATTCCAGATACAAAAAATAACCCTTTAAATCAAGATGGCGGAGGTAGCGACAACTTTGGAATCCCAACTTTTTGAATTTAGACTACCAGAGACCCCCTCCAACGAATTCCGAAGGAAAATTGCTGCTTCCAATTTTTCAGAATCTCAAGCCTGTTCTTCACCTAATTCGATTGGGCTAGAAACATTATATTTGAAATTTCCAACTTCGTTTGCTCTATTACCAAAAATCCCCTAAATATCACAGAAATTGAAATTGAAAACTTCATCACTTCTCTAGCAATTGACAAAAGCACTAATAACCCTGACAATATGGATCATGATCCTATAGAAATTAGTGATGGCCAACGATCTGAATACTAAATTACGTATTTTACAATGGAATGCAGGTTCCATTAATAATAAAAAAGCAAATCTCATGAATTTTCTAGTTGATTACCCTTCAGATATCATTATCATATCAGAAACATGGTTAGATTCAAAAAAAAAAAAAATGTAATCTTCAAGGATACAATTTACTTAAGAAAAATAGGGCTGATGGATATGGCGGTGTTGCCATATTTATTAAACACCCGTTAACATATGTAGAATTAAATGCTAATGCAAACATTAACCAACATATTGAATTATGTGCTATACAACTAACTGACTTAAATCTCTCTTTAATTTCTATTTATAAAGCACCAGATAATAAAATTTTTCAAAAAGACTGGGAATACATATTTAGACATTTTAATAAAAATTAAACTATTTATGCCGGCGACTTTAATAGTCACCACACCCTGTTTCTGCAGTTTCTTGTTTTATCCCATCTTTCCTTGAATTTCAAAAGGGAATGTTCTTTAATTAGGTCTGTCACTACCGATTTTGTCAGGCCAATAGAAGGGCCAGGTCCGAAAAGTAATTGGTTGGCTCCTTTCTTGGCTAGTGAATCAGCAAGACGGTTACCTTTCGATGTGGCGTGACCTTTGATCCATCTTAAGGTGACCACATTGTTGATGGATACTTCGGCCAAAGCTTCATGACATTCTAGTACTAACCCTGAGTAAATTCTTGGTCTATTCAGGGTAAGTAGTACTTGTCTGCTATCTGTTTAGATAAGCATGTTACTTCCAGTGATATTGTTTCTGGTTATTTCTTTTGCTGCTATGAGAGTCCCCATTAGCTCTGTTTGAACTACACTGGGACTATTGCTCAAAGACCATTTTATGATTTGGTTTAAGAATCTGTAGTACATTCTACATCCATACCTACAGTCAGGAAATATACCTTATTCAAATAAATAAAAATTGAGATTTTGGATTCTGTTTTGCCAACACACATAACTGTGTGACAGATATAGGAATATTGCGTTAATAAGGGACAAGATTAATTTAAAGATTTCGTTTACGATCTTATTCTGAAACTGATATTGTAGACAGAATTTCAAACAGAGGAAGTAGATGCTACAGTTGCTGTTACTCTCGCTTCAAATCGTCACGATTTTTGATTCATGACAGTATCGGCTATCGAATCCTTTCCAATACGCTTTTCACAAATGAATGTAAAAACTACAGAGAGTTAGCTTTATTTCGAGTAGGAAACGAATAATATCAGCGTTTCCACAGCGGTCGGGTCGTATAAACTGGCAAAAATTGGACTATACAATCAAAAGTAGCTAGCTAAAACTGGAACTATAAGATATTGAGTAGAAATAGATGGATCGCAATACGCGGTTGCTGTTGACTGCACTATTCAGTCACATTGACAATCCATATTTTTTTTATAGAGTAAAATAGACACACATAACAAATATACAGGAACTTGTAAGTAAGAAAGTGAAAAAAATTCCTCAATTCAATTGATTTCAATTGTAGGGTGGCATCTCCTTAATTTTGTACACACTAAAAAGTATTCATTGATAAAATTATATTCTTACCTGTTCGACTGCTGCTGTGTATAAAATTGCAGACAATGTTCCATAATCGACTACAATAACATTGCAATCGTGCTTGGATAAAATTGCATTTTTTAATTCTTGACTACTGCTCATTGATGTTGTAGGCATTTCCAGATAACCATGTATAACAAAAATTGTATCTTTCTTTTTCGAAAAATCAACATTGGCGAGGTCAGAAGCTTTGGAAATATTGACGGTGTTTCCTAATACTGGATTGGATTTTGAGTAAAAGTAATTTCTTACGTCCGCTGATCTGGATTGTAAAATAGTTTGGGCATCACTTTCTGAAAAGACTTCCATCATAGGAATAATATAATAGGTAGGTAACATTTCACTGGTTATGGGGTTCTACTTATTTAACACTATAATTATTGAAGAATAATATGAATACCTATTAGGATTAATTTGATGAATTAAACACAAGGTTTATAGTATTAAGTTGTACACAGAAAAAAATTATCATCTACATTCAAGAAAAGCTTTACACTTGGAAGATTACATCTGTTTGAAATAAAGCAGAGTTTGCTTTAAATAATATTTCTCGATACAATAAGAAAATAAATGTTGAGTGTAGTATAGGCATAATCTTGTATTTTAAGAGTTATAATAATTAATTTGAGAATAAATTATTTCATTCGAGTATAGAATTGTTAATTAATCCAAGAAATCAATGACGTTTATTATACGTATGATATGCTCTTAAGACCGACTATTGCGTATTTGATTTAATGTTATAAAAAAATTTCGATTCAAAGCATTTAAATTTCAGAACAAGAATTAAACAATTAGAATCAAAAACATATGTACTTCAAAGAAGATTAGCTAGTACAAATTCACTGCACAGTTTTGCCAGCTGAAACTTATTTTAAAATGCAACCCCTGCACTGATACGATTGATATATGACTGGCACATGAGATGTGATGCTTCTTATTCGGAAGTCAGAAACACAACGCATTTATAGAGAATCTGGCAAATTGACATTAGCACGTGTTCATTAGGATGGGCCAAAAACACCAAAAAAAAATCGATTTTTAAAAATATATGATACAGTAGTGCAAAAAAGCTGTGATTTTACTCAATTTTTAGCTGGGCCCCAAAGGAGCCAAAAGGGTCAATTTTTGTTTTGGTTTTTGTTTTTCAATTTAAGGTACCGAAATTTTTTTTAATAATAGCGTCTTAGAGCTCATATTAAGAATTTTTAAAAACAATATTTAGCCGGGCCCCAGAGAGTATAAAAAGACGTATTATGCAGCGGTCGCGTAATAAGCTGAAATGCCTAGTTGTATGTGCAGCATTTTCCATGGTTTAATACTTTTTATAGGCTGACTATTTTAATATTAAATAAAAAGAATAATAAATATTATTAAAACACCCCAGATCTCACCGCGTAAGTGGCGGAGGGTGGTTGGAGCACCCTGTGCTCCAACCACCCTCCCACCCGTTATACAAATTACCCTGTCTTGTGCGTATCTATTGTTTTGTAGTATTGTCCTTTATTCTCAAACTTAGGCAATATTTTTCTTGCTTCCAATTTGGCTCTGATATATCCATCTCTTGATGTTTCACCACAAACTTTCAATGACGCCTCTGTTAGAGTTTTGACGCATCTTTTCACGGTGTGCGTATGACATGGAAATAAGTCAAAGATAATTGTTTCTTTTTCTGTAATAAGCTGTTGCAAGCAATTATCTGAAAGTTTCATTACAAATGGCGGCTCTGTAATGGTACATTTTTGCCAGTCAGTAAGATTAATGTAATCTTCAGCTTCAAAATTAACTTTAGGTGTTTGTTGTCTAGCTTTCAATATCCTGCGAATTGTCAATTCTCTTACGAAGTCACGGGGATCAAACATCATTGCCAATAATAAATTTTCCAGGTGTGAAAAATCTTTTTGATATTTGTTGGCAACTCTCTAGATGCTTTAATTGCATGCAAAAAGTGAATTGCCCCATAATGTAGCTGTGGTGATGTCTTAATTTGAAACCATATTGGGGCGTAAACCTTTGAAACGTGGTGATATATTTAAGATTATCAGAGGGATTTTCAGTAGCTACATATAATCGTAGAAGCCCATTAGCTCTGTTGAGCCAACGAGCATAGCTCATTTTCTCGAATTTTTATTTGTCAAGTTATCCGTAATAATTCCAATACTAACAAATTTGATATAAAAATTGTTGGTCCGTGCTTAAATCTGTCTCTGTAAGTTCCGGAAGTTGTGTAGGTTCAAATTTTATCACTGGCATTTTTTTGCAATCCTTAATAACTATTTCTAAAGGCCCTGAGAAAGAATAAGGCCCTTTGGTACTGCCATCCAATTCTTGTAGTATGTGCCTTAGTGGTAGTTCATTGGTATGGAGCATACAAATACTTCAATGAACCGGTTTGCCAATATGCACTTTTATTTTTCGAATGATAACCGCCTTTTCATCCAGTATTAACATTTGTTACATCACAACCAAGGACAACCAAATTTTTAAGAGATGTATTCTGTTTCTGTAAGCACGGTAGTAACCCTTTGGTTATTTCTTTCTTTCTTTCCTGCAGTTTGTAGCGAGACGTGTCCAAAGCAATTCCATTCTTTTGGAGTGTAAGTACGATCTGGATGGTCTTTATCGATATACGGGTAATAGGTATACAGGACCGGACTTGCAATTTTTTTTTATTAATTTTCAGAAACCCTGGGGCGCGGCTAAAAATAACTTTAGAACGATAAAATTTGGCGTGTTAAAAGTACTTCGTATAACGAGTTTTTGCTACCATAAATTAAAATTTGAAGAAAGAAATTAAATTGTTGGGGTCCCTGTGGCCCGGCTAAAGATTAAAATTTTTTGTTGAAATTTTTTGGGCATACATTAATAACCGGTACACATCTTTTTAGGACTATACGTTATCTTAATTTTCGAAAAATGGATTTTTCTGCCCACCCTCATCCTATTGTTCATTTTCTAACATAAAATTCTTTGTGATTTAATTAATAAGTGTATGAATAAATTAAATTGAAATGGAGCATTTGTTAAATGAAAGGGGCCTCAGCCACCTGATACCAATATTTAAATGTAAGTATATTTAGTTCACTTCTTGTTAGGTATTATTATATATAAGTAAATTTAAAATCATAAGAACACGAAACAAACTGGAATAGAAGTAAAAATGTATGATGCTGGATGACGACTTTTTGGAAAGACGACTTCTGCCTTACTAAGACAAGAGGTCGTATCTACGAAAATTCTGATTTAAAGATTCTTACAAATTTAATAATTTTACATTTTATTTTATTATAACACAATATAATATTTGCATTAGAAAATATTTATTATAATTATAAGGAAAGGTTAGTAAAATATGCAAAACTTATTTGCGAAGTCTAAAAGGACGTACTTTTCTACCTACCCACATTTACTAAAAATATTCATTTTGTAGATATGACCTCCTATCTTAGTAGGACAAACTTTTATGTTCCACTTAGGTTTTGAAGTCATAAAATTATTTTTTGGTATATTAACTAAAAACAATTTTGAAAAATGTTTTTCGGTGTATAGGTGCCAGTGAGAACCCTATTAAAAAGCAAGAACAGCCTGATTTAAATTTAAGAAAGTTAATTTTTTTAATGAAACTATCCTATAATTCAACCAAAATAAATATATTTATGTCAAAGATCATATTATGATTGTTACAAATTTAGTTGTATTGGATTTAAGAACAAGGTATTATTGAATATAAATAAAGTATATTTAAAACAAGTGTAAGACTATTTCATTTAAGATGTACATAATACTGCAATTGAACAATAGATACTCTTCATTTAATTAGAGGTATTTTGGTTAGGGCAAGTTGATTCTAATCTTGAAGCAAGGCTTATTAGCTATTGTTAAACAAATATTACTAGAATTTCAAATCGAGACTAGTTTTACTTGCGGATATACAAACACAACAAAGAATTGAAATAAGACCATTCATCTTGAATATAGTACACCTTTTTTTTCTGTGTAGGAATTCAAAACTAATTCTAATGTTTATTTCACTACTACTTTTTACCATCAACCTTGTGATTAATGCATTAATATTATTATAGCATGGCTCAACCTAATATTTACCATATTAACCTTTTTGTATTAGAGGCCTGAAGATGGCCCTGTGAGGCCGATACTAGTTGCTTCTGTAGTTTTCTAAGACTACCAAATTTAGGTGAAATTAATTTTGAGATTTTATTCCTTTACTGAGTAAGCCCACATTTAAGATGTGGAATAATTGATCAAGGGTAAAGACATTGATAATAGTCGACTATATTTGTTGAATCTATATCTTGAGAATATTTTAATACCAATTTGTATGTACATGTATATTTCTGCCTTTAATTATTGTCTGTATCTGGAATGCAATTTTGTGACTGATTGATTGGAATATTATTATTATTATTATTATTATTATTAGTATTCTTTAATAATTCTATGTTTTCTTTCAAAGTGAAAATGAAGAAACCAAGTATAAATTACAACAATTTTTTTTGGAATAAATTTTGAATCCACGTTTGACATTAACATTTAACTTTATTAGGCAACTTTTTAGACGTTTTATAGTGAATACTGTTGCCTAATTACCTAACGTATTGTTTAGCGAGTGTTTGGTTTAAAATATTTTCGACTTTATTAAACCGTTTAAATATAAGCAATGAAACTATGACGTCACGTACGAAATATTTTAAACCAAAGATACAAATTTTAAACCAGTCGAAGGCATATCGTTCAATCTTAGACTAGATATAAGACCAAAGATGTAACATGTTGGAAATAAAAGAATGAACTTATTTATGGTATTAGTACTTTATTGATCTTTATAGGTTTAAAGCAAGATCAAAGCATAAAAATTAAAACATATGGAGAACACTAAATAAGGTACAAGAAAAATATGCATAGAAGGTGTGTCACGCTCAACGGGACGGAACCTGGTGGGTAAACTTCAAACGATATTAAAAATTACTTTGGAACAAATATATAACTTAACCAATTTAAATTGGTTTAATATATACAGGGTGTCCCAAACCAGAGTACTAATATAAAGTTACTCTAAAAAATAATCTAAATTTAATAAAAATTTCCTATTCCCATCTTTGAAAATTGAAATTGACAATCCGTTTAGCCGCGGAAAAAATTTCCCTTTAAAAATTTACCGCCGTAGGCTGGAGCCTAGCTGACCTATTTAAAAATCCGCCACTGAGAACAGTAAGAACAGTGATGCAAGGACAGCAAGGACTTCAAAGAACATTCACTG